ATCAATTGCCAAAGACCCAAAAAGTTTTCGATTGTGCGAACTTGCTTAGTCATTTAGAAGAGGACAACTGATTTCGTTGTACAGACTTAAATCTACATATCGATATCAATGTAAATGATTGGCTGATATGGATAAACGAAAATGTGAAATGATCCTTATTTTTTTTACTGCGGTAATTTTACAAATTGAGTTAATTACTTTGCAGCCAAAAAAATGGCCGAGCAAAACGAAGGAATCCAAACTGTACAAAATCCTGATGTCGTCCAAAAATACCAAATGGCGGCAGAACTTTCGAATCGTATGTTCTCTGTCGTTATCAAGCTCTGCAGTATAAGTTCAAACTTAGTAAACGTTCATAAAACACGTAATTGTTAGCCCTGTTAGCCATATGTTGAGCCTTTAAAAAAAATTTTTTTATATTTGAAAAAAAATTTTTTTAAGAGTCAAATAACAATTAAAACTTTTGTCATTAAATAGTTTAGTGAGATCTCTTCAAATATTTAAAGTCTGGGGGACGCTTGCATTTTGTGTCACTTTTTTCGTGCGGTATTGTTTGATGCGTGAATTTTGATCTTTTTTATTATTCAATAGGCGTGCTTAAGTTGGTTATTGATTCCGCTGTAGATGGTGCAAGAATATTGGATCTTTGTGCATTAGGTGATAAATCAATAGAAGATGGTGTGAAAAATCTTTTTGCGAAAGCTAAAAATATCTCCAAAGGTAATATTTAATACATTTATCCAATAGAATGAATATTTTAGCTAATCATTATATAAATTTATATTTTAGGAATTGCTTTTCCAACTTGCGTTTCCGTCAATCATATTATCTGTCATTTTTCTCCGTTATCATCTGACCCTGAAGGATCTGATGTATTGAAAAATGGTGATTTAGCAAAAATTCAATTAGGTGCTCAAATTGATGGTTATGCTTCAATCGTGGCCACTACTATTGTTGTTGGTGCATCTAAAGACAAACCTGTCAAGGGTAAATTAGCCGATGTCATAACCGCTGCTCATTTGGCATCGGAGGCTGCCTTGAGGTTAGTAAAACCTGGTTTATCCAATAACAAAGTAACCGAAACGATACAAAAGATTGCTAAATCTTTTGATACAAATTCTGTTGAAGGTAATAATTTAAAATTACTAAGTGAATGCGTTTTTATTTACTTAATTAATTAATTAATTAATTTATTCATAGGAATGTTATCATATCAGCAGGAAAGAAATGATATTGAGGGTAAAAAACAAATTATTCTCAATCCGAATGAAGCTCAAAAACGCGACTTTGAAACTGTACAATTCGGCGAGAATGAAGTATATGGTATTGATATCTTGATCTCAACTGGGGAAGGAAAAGTAAGAAAATCTATTCCTCAAATTTTTTAATACATTATTATTCTT